ACAGGCCAACGACCAGATGGGCTGACGTGTTCGTTACACGGATGGACCAGCTGAATTCTCAGCTAGTAACGAGTAATGGATCTGGACCTCGCGAACGTCGCCGCCGCAGTTTAATTCTAACAACGTGGATGACGCTAGCGAGAGACAGAATCGGATGGGAACAGTGCTGTGGCCTGTACGATAAATGAAGACAGGCTATCTAAGCATCAAAGCAAGTATCTATATGACATCCGGAAAAACTTCATCACTCGACCGCCTCCCGTTTGGTCTGCGAGCGCTGTCACTTTCGGCGGCGTTTTAGCCCAATGTCCAGGGCGGGCAATTCGCTAGTTCAACTGTTCGCAGAGGGAGCGCAGGGCATTGCGAGAATGTCGACATCCGTATGCACCCACAAACATTCGACTTGTCGTAATTGCGTACCATCATATTTCAGCTGGCATCCCAGTTAGCCTTCTATCGTAGTTTAGTATAATTTTAGGAAGATTTTACTCCAGAAATTGCCTTGAACTAATAAAAATTCACCACGGTGCTAATGGGACGCAATCGCGATATTCCGACTGCTTGTGGACGCATACGGGATCTCGAAAATGCCCGTAGTCAACATTTGCGTTTTGGTTGGACAGTATGTACCCGGAGCACCGAAAAAAGATTTTTGTTTTGTGACTGGATAACAATACTATACACTATTTCATGCGAAGCCACATAAGCGCTTTTTGAAAAATGAATTTTTGGGCTATTTCAACTAATCCTTGCGCATAAAGTCAAAATGCAACCTTCGACTTTAAGCTGAATGCTCGGGTTCGGTATAAAATAAAATTTTTGAGGTAGCTTCCAGTTCTCTTCAAATCAAGCATTTGGCGAATGGATTTTGCCACAAAGTTCAAAGAAGTACTTAATACCTGATTAAATGAGATGTTCATGAAATGTACGCTAATGTAAAAACGGAGGAAAGTTAATTATTTCAATGCTTTTCTTCTACACGATAACTAATTAAAATCGATTTCTGTACAGATATACGATATTAAGAACAACCGTTTTTTTTTTGCCTTTAATGTTTAATTCATCAAATTCACTGAGTAAAACACGCTAGACATTCGAGTTTATTAGCTCTACTTAATTTTTGTGGAGAGAACAATTTGAGCAATAGCCGAACTACTAATAAGAAAGAGCTCTACAATAATTGGCACAATGTAACTACCATGCTCCGCAGCTGTTCTTCATTTGATTGATGTTCTTTTCAGAATGGTGAAACTCATCCTTCTAAATGCTTGTACATGCATCTTAGGATTTCTATGAGATGAGCATAGTTGATCACACAGCTACAGGACGAAGTACTCATGATTGTAACAGATAAAGATAACATAAAATGTCATCGCACACGATTCATGATTACTCCTCCAAATCGATGTTGATCTCAATTTCTTCATGTTTTTCTTTTGAAGCACATCTACGGTTTCCACATATCTAGACAATAGCCAAAGCGCCGATTCGCGGCGCTTCGTCTAGGAAGAGTGAGTGTGTATGTTCCCTTTAAGAGGCACCCTAGCCAAAGCGCCGCTTCGCGGCGCTT